AAACATTTGTGAAAAAACTTTTAGTGTTGGTGAACTGACTTGTTTATGATTTCATTGGGTTTATTAAATAAACTGAGCTTTCACAAACATAAATGACTCGAGCTTTTCATTCGTTCGTTTCTTAAACGGACGTGATCATGAACCCCACATCAAAAACGGGTCAACCCAATTTCTGGCCCACTTCCATAAACGGGTCGATCAAAATTGGGTTGTAAACCACCCAACAAATATTAACATTAACATGTTCCATCATAAGCCAACAAATCCAGCTGAAAGTGAAGCCCAAGAAATCATGTACTCAACAAAAACAAAAACACCATATATGCAACTGAAAATCACATCACAGCTTTATTTCAAAGCTCTTAATATCTCTAAATACTCAAATTCATCATCTTGACAAATCACATATCATACTCAAACACGCACACAAACATACTAAAGTAATTACAACCAAGCAGAATTCTCCAGAGGGGTCACAACAGCTTTGACCTACAAATACTATTTGAGGCCGTAGATTCCCTTTTCGCGCCCGATACCACTCATCTTGTAACCGCTAAACGGGATTCCCGCATCAAAAAAGTCGAAGCAGTTGACCCAAACAGTCCCTGTCTTCAACCCTCAATCGTGTTGGCTGTGTTGATGTTCTTCGTGAAAATTCCGGCCGCAAAGCCATATCTTGTTGCATTCTCTCGTTTAATCACTTCATCAATCAGCCTAATGAATGGAGATTAATTTTATCCTTATAATCTCTTTGATATTCACTCTTTTCAGCTCAAATATAGTGATAATTGCACTGGACCGAATATTTCCTTCTTTGCTATCAGCATATCATCCTGAATCCCACATATATATGTAAACCCAGTTATCTTACATTAGTGATTTCAAATCGAAATAACAAAACAAGCATGTGAGATCATAAAGGCCTGCAGTTAAATTTTATCATGTGAGATCATAAAGTGATTTCAATTTTGATTTCAAAAATTAAAAAAAAAATTCTCCCTGCAGTAAAATTTTTTGATAACTAAAGCAATATAAAGGGCTCACCTCTAATAACTAAAGCAATATAAAGGGGAATTTACGAGGTGAAAGTCTTTCTTTCAAGTGAATCTATATGTTGCTGATGATGTTTGAGTTTTGGTATTTTTTGGAAAGCAGAGGCACGCACTAAATGGTTAAGGAAAGTGACGTAAAATGTGACAAATTGGTGGCTGAATGAGTTTGGTTGCTGTATTCTCTACCACCAAACATAAAGGCAAATAATTGCAGTACTTTAGTCTTGTCAGCTTAATTCATTATCACCTGCCAGAGAATAATAGAAAGGAAATGGTGAAAATGAACTAGATTGTTTTTGGGGAAAAGCTAAAAACCACAAGAGGACTTGCCCGATTTTTTCCATAAAAGAACTATCCAACAATCTCATTAAGAAAGGAGCAGTGAGGAAAATATGCAACAACCCTTACCTTCAAAACAATCAAACCAGTTATTTGGACTCGATTCAAATAAATTTCGAATACTAATAAGTCCTGTTCTTATTTAAATTTGAATTCAAATTTCACAAATACAAATCACAATCAAAGAAGTTCAATTCTTTTACAACCCTATTTAGGATACCAATGTCATACTATTTATTAGTAAGGTTGCCTAAATAGGTGAAAGGATTCAACCAGATATCCCAGGAATTTAAATTATATGCTACAAAAAAAATGTCAAGACAAAGGAACAAATGCAAATTTGTGACCTCACCTCAACTCTGCGTCGAATGTCCTTATTTTTACGAAAATCCCCAACTATTCACCAGATCAGGGTGTCTTAAGATCTGACCGCGATCTGGAAAAACCAGTTAAAATATGAATCATAAAACCGCGTGCAAAAAAACATCAAGAAAATCAACACCCATAACCCTAAAGTTCAAATTCAGCATGTAGATGCAATACACAGATGTAAAAAAAGCCGAAAATTATGAGCGATTAATGGAAAATTAAAGCATACGGTCTGCTTCAATTTTGATTACAAAATACAGCATAGAAGAAAAAAACAAAAGGGGTCAGAAAAGATGGAATTTTTCGTTAGTTTAATCTGAAACAGGGCTGCAGTAAATTTTTTTGATAACTAATGTAAGATCATAAAATAAAAGAAATTCTCCCTGCAGTAAAATTTTTTGATAACTAAATCAATATAAAGGGCTCACCTCTAATATAGAAAAAACATCGTCGTACATGTATTTGCAACTTGTTACAGCCTCATGCAATTTTTTAGCAATTAGCCAAATCAACAATATCTCTTTTTGATTTCAAAAACCTCACTTGTAAATTGCTATCGAACGACACTTCCTCGTTGTCTTTCTCTTGGCGAGCAGACATTTTGCATATGATGAAGAAAACTAGTTGTACATTTAATTAACAAATCTACTTTGAAAACATAAAGCTGAACTGCATCGTAGTTCAGTTAATCTGACTCAGAATTGACAAAGGTAGGGTGGACCTTAAGGTTGCGTGTTCACGAGCGTGGATGAGATAGGGTAGAATGTTACCAAAATGTGTCAATATAGTGGCAAAAGCATGAGCCGGAGGCCCGGAACTGATCATTTATGAGTAACATATTTTCTGTAGTCTAGTTTTTGTATATAGAAAAAGATGTGGTTTTCCACTCTGTTATTAAACTGCAATTACAGTTTTTCTAGCAGCACCAGATCGGAAAATAGATATTTAAATAAGGTAAAACAGCAAAAGAGAGAAAAAAAATAAAAAAACTCCTAAGTTGATGAAGTTTGTACCTGAAGAGAGTCCAGAGGTGGAGTATTTGAACCAAAGCCTAAAACAAAGCTCAACTGATGGGCTTCACTTCTTTGAGGGTTCCACAATATGGATGCTGACAGGCAGAAAACATTCACAAATTTGGACACCAGATCAATCACATTTTAAAATTCAGTCTACAAATTGAAATGATTTATCAATGGAAAGTAAATCCAAATGGCAGAAACATCCAAGAGATTAAAGTAGTAAGTTGTAAATATAAGTACCCAACAAAGGTTAAACAAAAAAATGACTTGATCAGATACAATCAAATTCAAATCATCAGGGGGATATCCAAATCAATATTATATGGAGTCATTTGAAATCTTAGCCAAGTACTCTCATTCAATGCAAATTGCAACCTAACATATCTCATCAGATTATTTATATTTGTTTAAGTTTTGTAATTGAATTATAAGCTTCAAACATAATTTGTCGAGTGCTTATATGTGGCATTTAAAAATGAAAATAATGTGTGACTTTTGGCAAATTTGTTGATGAGGTTGAACGTTGTAAAATCATCATAATTTTAACCAACACATAATTCTTAAACAAGCTACAATATCTTATAGATTCCGAAATCCTAATATACAATGTAACCAAAAAGAAAATTTGAACACTATAGGCATAAATTAATGCTCAACAATGTGACTGAAAATTTAAAAAATCTCTGTTCACAATTAGGAAATCTGATGGGAGAAGGGACATGCGTAGCCAAACAATAATTCACATAATATACAACTTTCTTAGGTAACACTACCTGAAGCAGCTCATAGATTTTTATGGATCCATCTGAGTATGCAACTGCCTGTTTATGAAAAATAAGGAAACAATTAAATACTCATCAAATCAGGTTAACACATAAGTTTCATGTTTGCTTCCGAAGTGGTTCTTAATAGCTAAATAGTAGGGATAGCAGAAAAGCTTTTCATTCTTAACAAATGAGCAGTTGAAGAAATAAAAACAAGCAAAGAGATACCCCCAGAGAAGTACAATGAAACAAATGAAGTTTAAATAAAGCCATAAAAATTAAACCATTCAAATGCTTGGAATGTTTTTGTGTACATAGAGGATCTTTAGAACACAGTAGTTAGAATGTATTAATTAAACTCAATGCACAGGTCGTAAAGATTCTATGTGAAGCAGAAATATCCTGAAGCTTGAGGTCAAATCCATTTTTGGAAAAAAGATAATCCACTTGTAACATCTTTTACACTTTTTCTGTTTTAAATTTTATAAATAGATTCATAACCAAAGGTACTCAGTCCACATCAACATCATTGTTCTGCTACTTCTATAAGGAAATAATGTACCTCATCGTAGTACGAAAATAACAAGAAGAGTATTATTTTAGGGATAATGTATCAGGTACCATTAGCTTATGGATGCTCTTATTCTTTTCTTCTTTCCTCCCACGTACTACTTTGTTCAACTTTATCCATGTATCTTCATCAGCAAAATCATCAAATGTATCAGGAAGTGAGCTATACTCTAGTTGCCTCAAGTAGAATTCTTACCAACAAATACATTGAGCGGTGCTTTAAAACATTTGGGGGTGGGTACTAAAAGCATTTTCTGGTGGCATGTTGTTACTATAGATACTTTCATATAGTCGGCATTGTTTGACACCACCCTAACATCCAACAAAGTTTCAAAATGCCAATTAGTAAGACGACAATGATGACCAACATCATGAGACATTTTAATCTATCACAAGCAAAACAATATTAATGTGAGGTTCACAAGCCATATGTTAAACGAAGCTTCAAATCTCACTAACAACTAACCATTCAACTTTTTTCAAAATTAACCCTAGTTAATTGAAAAAATTCATTTTTTGAATGAATCCATTTGTAAACAAGAACGCCCTAAACATCACACATGTCCGCGTTGCAGTTTGAGGATCAATAAATCAAAATGTTATTGCTAATGGAAATCAATAATTATTTCCATTGATCTTTTGTTTTTACTTTCTCAATTTTTTATGGTTCGACTAACCTACAGTTGAACTGATTTTTTTATTTTTTTTTTGTTTATAATGCAAATATGTTAAACTCAAACAGAATATTACAAGGCTTAGCCAACAGACTAAGAATGTCTCCCGAGCAACTGTCATCTGAGGTCAGTAACAGAGGATAAGCAGTAACAGATGTTAAGCAGGAAAAGTTAAAAAAACAACCCCTCAACAAACTAAGCAACAACTAAATGCTATCCAACACCTACTTTATACACAAATGAGCAGGAGGAAAATAAGAAAGATAGGAAGATAGTTGAACTGATTCAATCGATAAAAAAAAATATTGGTTTGAAACCAATCCTGGTTCGGTTGACAGTTTCCTTTTTTTGCGAAACCGAAATTTTTAATTAACGATTCATAATTCAGGGAATGAAAGTTCGTTATGTTTAAGACTGCCCAGACAAATGTGAATCCAAAACAACAAAAGAAGAGTCCCCACTTTTTATCATAATCCAACATTAAAAAAAGAATGGAAAAAGTAAAAGCAACCAAAGTTTTCATAGCATAAATTCTTCCTCAGTACTAGATATTGGACCACATTAAAAAGGTATGACACAGAGTATAATCATATTGACACCAATCGAGGAGGCTTCACTGCATCCAACCACTCAAAACTACTCTTATGTACCGCAATTCTGTATGTATTAATATGGCATGGTAGACCGATTTCATCGATTTCTTGCGTGACAAGATTGTATAGCAAAACTGCATAATACTTTGGGGACCAAGCTCTCATGGCCAACAACTCTGGGTACTTGACCCAGCCTACCGGGAGCACAAAGATTTCTTTGGGTACCACACCTAATTGCTTGAATCTTTCCTTGTGATCCTCCAAGCAAAAATGGGTCTTTTTTCTCCATTCACCTGTTTCGGGTAGACTCAGCTCCCAAACCTGCCACGAGCACTCCCCGAAATGACTCAATAACGTCAGATATTTTCCGGTTGATAAGTAAATATTGCATCGACTCCCAATAGTCGGGAGAGGGGCTGGAGTCTCCGTTATAGTTTCGGTCTCCACATTAAGAGTCAAGACATGGTGGATATAGAGACGGTTCCAATGAATGAAACCTTCAGTAACCAACGGAATATCGCGGAATGCCTCAAGTGCCTCCTCACATGATACGAGTCCCAAATCAACATTCCTCCATGTTTTATCAACTCCAGCGGTTAATATATGACAAAACGGGCGAGAGGTTGTTCCTTCAGGAGGAGGATAGAATATAAACACTTTATACTCCATGGAAGCCGGTGAGTACCCCATTGCGTATTTTCCGTCGTAGCCGTAATATTTTCCTTCGGAAACATTACCGACACACGGAGGGAGACCAACAATTTGCCCCGTTGAGGGATTTGTGACGAAAAGTTCATGTCCGTTTTTTTTCATGTTAGTCTCTAACCACAATCCATTACAACTACTAGTGACCTCACATTTACGTTTGTACCTCAACTGGGTCATCTCGAACTTTCCTCCCCTTTGAGGGAGGATCAAAAGTGATTCTGAATCCGTGGATTTTAATAGGAGACCATAAGTGGAGATGTTTAAGTAGGCAGACATGAAATTAGGGGTGTGGATTATACGGTACCATTTGCGGCAAACAAGCCTTGCCTCGTAAATGTCTTGCTGGCATGGGATTCGCACAAGGACTTCAATCAACAGCTCATTAGGAAGAGATTCGATGTCTGTTGTTAGCTTATTTCTTTTACACCTCCTCGGGTTGTAAGTGCGGATAATCTGCATATATATTATTCTTCCAATGTTTCATCAACAGAGGGAAAAACAAATTTGGGGCAACTTTTAACCTAAAAATTTTAAATCGAAATACTGCAAATTAATAGAACCAATAGAGATTCTACATATATGTAACCTAACCTGGTGAACGGATGGGACCAGGAATTTGAAGGGTTCAACCTCTGTATTCCATTCTTCTTTACCTGGCCGTCGAGGAGGCGGTGGCTGGCGGACTATTGATGGTGGGATATCACACATGGGAGGTTCCCTAGACGAGGGAGAACGAATGGATGAACTCGCCATCCCTTCCGAGGAAAAGGAAGAAGATGTCTTCTATTTAGAGCAGCCTTTGACAAAAAGGTTTTTGATGAGGTTTGAAATTGTTAACCTAGTTTATCTGTTACGGTTTAAGAGGTTTAAAGGTTTGAAAACTCTAACCAAGTTTGCATTTGCAAACCTCAACAAAATCTATAATAAATTTATTTAAAAATAAAAAAAAGAAAAAAAAAATGAAANGTACAAATCAGAGGATTAACTAATCCTACTACATAAACAATACAAAGAGAGGACCACTAAACACTTTAGTGTCCTAAATCCGACCAACAGAACCACACAAAGACTATAGGCAAGTGAAACACTTGGCACATACAATCTAAAAACAACCCAAAGCCAAAGAAATAAAACTGACTAGAAATATTTAGTTGAAAACTGAACACAAGGGACCTAATCAACTAGCCACTTCCAGAATTAATCCACGGAATGTTTGCGGTTTTTGAATTCTATCCACTCCCGCCACATTGCTCACAATAACCTTGATAGGAATCCATTCATTTCTATCCACCCCTTTTCAGTTTCAAACTATGCTTTTTTTCTTTTTAAATTTACTAGTACAATACTCGTGTATTACACGGGTGTTGAATTAGAAAGTTTTTGTAAGAAATATTAATTTTTTTATTTTTTAAAACTAAAATATTTAATTCTATATAAAATATTACTTTGAGTTTTAATTAAATTATCAAATTATATTTTTTTAATCATAATAATTAAACACTCGTACATTAAATGAAAATGTCAACTCGTGTTGAATTTTTTTACTTAATCATATAAAAATATCGATATTATTTACTATTACATAAGTACAAAAATATATATCTTAAATAAATAAAAATAATATTATAACGTACATTTCCATTGTAAATAATAAATAATAAATAGAAGTCTATAAATAATCCAATATTATAACGTACATTTCCATTGTCAGATTCTTCACTTATCAACCGAGTCATGAAATCAAGTTCTTAAGTGAGAAGGGTAAACATTTTAAAACAATTTATCTTTTTAACATTTAAATTGAATCTGGATTTAGTAGCACAAATTTATTTAAATTGTATATTAATTAGTTTATATAATCAAATGCGTAGAAATAAATATATTTTATCAAATTTTAAGTAAATTTTGAAAATAAGATAACATGAGTTTTAATAACACATTTATTAAATACATATACTTTCAACTGTGCATAAATATACTATTAATTTATATGTATACCTCTATATACATAAAATATCACGCACAAAACTCATGCACTAATGTAATAAAAAACATATTTAATATCTATGCCTCTATATACATGAAAACTTAATTAAATGTGAATATCAAATAAATCATACATGTCCTTTCTTTAAGTATTTTGTATCAAATTTCTTTTACTTAAAGTATTTTTGTATTGAATGTTGTAAGATAGAATTGTGATTAAATGTTGCAGATTTGGTCGCTCTACAACTACGAATTATTTAGATGGGAAATCAGTTATTATTTCAGGTAAATATCAAACTTTTATAGGGTTTGGTTCAAGTGAGAATGATGCTTAATGAAAGAAATAAGAATGAATAGTAGCCATATGATTGGATGATCTAATGGTCATAAAAAATACACCACTTGTAAGTTCATTAAAGGTAAGTTAGACATTATATCAATACATTAATTGGGACCCACCACCAACAAACCCATCACTTCCCTGATTTATCTCTCTCTCTCTCTCAAACACACACACACGTACCACACGCGCACACACACAGACCAAACACACACATTCTCCTCCCTCCCTCTCTCTCTATCTCTCTCTCTCTCACACACACACACACACGAACACACACACATACGCACACAGACCAAACACACACACACACGAACAGCCCGATCGGGCCATGCTACGACCACCATCAAAGCCCCGTCGCAACACGGAGTCGGGTTCTGTCGTCGCTCTCTACTCTCCACCTCCCAAGAACCAGGAGCAGCTCCGCCTCCCGAGAACCAGGAGCAGCCCCGCCGCAACCCCACTGCAAACTCGCCGCCGGACACGTCAGTAACGCAACGAGCAAGCTTTCGTCACGACACAGCTGCCGTCGTCGACATCGTCAGCACTCCTCAACATCACGGCCCGGCAGCTCCAGTTCATCGACGTCCGCCGCCGCCAACTCAACCTCCACCGCTGAGCAGATTCTCGACTTCTGGTCTCTGTCTGTACCGCCGATGCAGTCAACAATTAGACAGTGAATTAGATCCCCAATTTCAGAAATTGGATTGTTGAGTTCTTAATCCCCAATTTCAGAAATTGGACAGTGAATTATTGGATTTAGGTTTGGTGCGAGTTTTTGTAAATTTGTTAATCGGAGAATCGAGCCCGAAAATCGATTCGTAATTTTCGTGAAGTTTAAACCGAGTTGGAGAGTCGGTTTAATTTCTCGAAACCCGTGCACGAACCAGTCGAACCGGCCCGCGAGCCACTAAATCGCCCCAGCTTCCCACACCCATTGAGCTCTCCTCTTTCCGGCGAGACGCTTGAAGCCGTCGAGCCCGTCGTCCCGTAAATCCATTCGAACCTTTCTCGCTCGTTTTCCGAGAACGGTATCGAGTCTCGACTTCTCGTTTATGTTTGCGTGAATAATTTTGTGATTGTTCATGTCTTTCGTGTTCTTATGAAGTTATGAATATATGTGTTTGAAATTGTTCGTTATATATATATATATATTGGGGATGGATCCAATGAGACCACTCCTTAAAATGAGTACGTGAGACTCAATCTTAGCCACTCATTTTGTCTAGATCAAAATTAATTAAAATATCCATTAATTAAATAATAAAATAATTATTAGTTGACTTCGGCGTTGACCGTTGACTCCGGCGTTGACCGTTGACTTCCGGCGAAAATCGTTGACTTCCGGCGTTGACCCGTTGTATTGAAATAAATAACCTAGCACACAAAAGACACTCAACCTTGAGTGGTCTAGTGGTTGCATTGCTTGTCTTGGTTCCATGAGGTACCAGGTTCAAATCTTATGGGTTACAATTTTTTTATAAAAAAAAAATACAACTAACTTAGCAGCATCAGACAACTAACCTAGCAACAAAACACAACTAACTTAGCAGCATCAGACAACTAACCTAGTAACAAAACACAACTAACCTAGCAGCAAGAAAGAAATAACATAGCAGCAAAAGACAACTAACTTAGCAGCAAGAAAGAACTAACCTAGCAACAAAAGACAACTAACCTAGCAGCAAGCAGATTATGGCTCGTTATTTCTGGGGTTACGAGGACGGTTCTGGGAGGGGGAGACGTACCCACTGGGTGAGTTTGGACTCCATCTGTCGTCCCCTCCTCGAGGGTTATTTTTGGGGTTACGAGGACGGTTCTGGGAGGGGGAGACGTACCCACTGGGTGAGTTGGGACTCCATCTGTCGTCCCCTCCTCGAGGGTGGGCTTGGCATCCGCCGCCTCAGGGACATTGTTACAGCTTTCTCATACAAGCTGTGGTGGCGCTTCAGGGAAGGAAAGTCGCTTTGGGCTCAGTACCTTCGCGGCAAGTACTGCCCTAGACGTGCCAACCACCCTTGTTG